ACATGGTTCTTTGTATGCCACGCAGCTGATGATGGCTTTAGGACGAAATCAAAACGTATTATGCTAATTGACAGCACAGAGTGAGATGTGATGAACAGTTAAATACTGCATTACAGCAACGGTAGGGACTGAATGACTGAACTAAATCTCGGTTATTATGTAACCATTCTCAGGAATTACAGTCAATATAAATTACGTTATCACAGTGGCCGGGCAGTCTAAGGTATGAAGTGTCTTGGTCCGATTGAAGACTGAGATCGTGGGTTAGAATCCCACTAGTGACATAGATGTCTGCGTGCGTTTATTCTGTGTTTGTGTTGTTTGTTTATGTAGCGGCCTTGCGACGGACTGATCTCCCGTCCAAGGAGTCATACGAACTATGTATAGATTAAGATATTGAAAAAGAGGTCAAGTTTCACAATGACTGTAGAGCCGTAGATATACAAATTATATTAATTAAGGACAATTATAAGTAAGGAGTAAGCAGTTAATCAGACTTTTGCATTCAGAAAGTGGTATGAGCTCATTCTTGCTGTGCGGAAAGGTTGCGGCATTCGCTTCCAGGAAATGTAGCTGTTCCAGCTGGGGCGGCATAACTTTGGAAATCTGAGAATTGACAGCCAGTGCAAGCTACAAATTAAGAGTAGGCGGGCCAGAGACCCAAGCCCAGCTGATCATGTATCAATGAGTTCCAATCTATATTCCCCACTGAACGGACGAAATACATCGTAAGTTGAGGCACCAGCTAAACTATTAATGTCAAAACTATATTACATCTATATCACGCGTCTCCAAGCAGCTTATTACATGTACACAAGTCTAGAATATCCTCGTACCGCTATGTCCGCTGGAATATAACAAATTGCAGCAACTGACTTGATGATACGGAATATCACATGAAAAGTTTTAAATCTTATTTTTACGCCATAACTTTCATTTTATAATAAGTTTATAGTAGCTTATTGTAGTTTTTACCATTTATTTTATAATGTAATAATTATCAAGTATCCAGCTTCGCTATCGCAATTGCAGTTCAGTAGTGTGTGAATACGGTAATCATGTGTTTGCCTGATGATGGCTTTAATAGCCGAAACATGTAACTAAGCTAATTTTAGCCTCGACCACTGTACTGTTGTGTTTGCGACGGACTATAATAGAGAATTGTGTGTATCAAGGTATTGTCACAAGTGCCGTTGAGACAATAAGGGCTCAAAGTCGCGCAGCATGTCTATGTCATTGGGAACTGTAAAATTCTGGTGAACTCCCAGATTTCACACTGGGCAAATAAGGCCTGTTTCAGGGAGGAGCTTCCTTTTGGAAGTTTGGGCTCGAAGAAGCTCGCTACTTTGGAGTGCTTCTTCACCAAAAGGGTCGTCCTCAAACTTCAGAAGTGTACGGGTGCAAAATTGTTTCACGTTGTGTGCACTGTTAAGTTTTATGCCAGTTCACTTAGTAAAAGTAAGTTACCGGAAATTCAAGTTACACAAAAATAAACATAGTGTAAGAAGTGGTCAGTTAAGCAAGTGAAATAACTATTTCGGTACTAAACGCAAAGTAAATAATAATTAAAATCTTGGGCGAAACTGAAATGAGGTCCGTGAAAATTGTTAGCATAAGTTTCTTCCTGTCCTACCGGAGCGAGGCCCGATACACCCTGAGCCTAGAGATCAGCTCTACCAACCACTCAGCAGAGCGGCTGGCTCAAACATCTCACCTGAGCACACACTACCTCGAATGTAAGCTACTCACGGGCGCTTACTGGCGCTCAACAACCCTTCCCTACCTTCATAAATACCTACCAGTTCCACAAGGAGGTGCGTAAGGTGGCCGCAGCGACAATCAAGAAGAGATTGAGAGGTAACAGCCGTGTAAGGTGGGAATCACCATAAAAGCATAGAGCAGTTGCAGCGTTGACGCTACGAACAAAGATGGGTCTGTTATATAAAAAGGCCGCCACAGCGGGGGCCGTCATGGAGGTGGCACCACAACTTAGAGCGGTTACAGAGAATTGATGCATCAACGTGGAACGATCGCAATTCTGACCGAAGATTCAGTGTCGATAACAACAGGGAAGGATTTGAAGGTAGACAAAATAAGAAAATAAACAGAAGGAAGAATGTAAGGAATACAAAGAGATAAGCAAATAAAACGATAATAAGAAAGACAGGAAAAAAAGAAACAAAGAGACTACAGGCAGAATGTAACATAAATACATTTTTTGTAGGATTTGAGACTCTCATAGCGGTGGTTATGAAGGTTTCTGTCTTCTGGAATATAATTCCGTGTAGTGCGCGGAAAATTAAACCGACTTAGAACATGGCGCTTTCATCCTCAGTATAAGACTAGCAAGCAGCCAGCATGAAGCAGGTAGCAACCATAGCCTGAAGTCTTCAGTGATTTTACCACTGCCTTATTACAAGAACACAATGACTGCCACTGTTTGCTGTATTGCAAGAGACATCAACCTGCATCGGTGTTCTCTGTGAGGTAAGAACCGAGTTCTTAAAGCTAGTCGCAGAACTTAAAAGAGCCATACGACATTTCCGAAATTCTGTCTCATCTGCGTGAGTGGGAGGTTCCCTGACGTTCATACTCCCAAAAATATTGAACAACACATAATACAAAAAATATTTTAAAAAGGGGGATGAAGCTGTAGCGTAAATTGCTGTTCATTTACTGTACTGAGGACGTGAAAAGAAATGCCATGGATTCATTCCCACTCATCGCTTCCAACGTTACCCTCGGGTTGATGCAATCCCAAATACACTGCACTTCCTTATATTCCTCAATTTAATTAGGCTCCAGACCCCTTGCGCAATCGAAAATTTCAATGTAATCACTAACAAAATGCTTGGATATGAAACTAAAGAAACTAGACCAAACATGTTTATGGGTAATAGTAATAAATAAATATTAAGCTAGGACATGAGATCAACAGTTTGTGACAAGAAGGCTCAAAGCCAGAATTCTGGAACGAGAAGAAATATGGGTTGCTCGGTTACGGCACGGTAAACACACGATGGCGCTAGTAAGCGAGCATTGGTTGCTATGAAGCAGTCGGTAACCGTCGCGTAGCAGTAGCAACAGTTATGAGCAACAATAGAGGCACTGTTATAAGCCGTGTTTCCAGTCAAGGCTACATATCGGGGAAGGAAACAGTCAGTAGTAAGTAATACCGTGTGAAGGCGGATTCGAATACCTCCAGCATAGCCTTGTGAGTCGTAGGAGGTGACGAGAAGAGAACCAAGGGCCTCGACGTATAACTGGGTCACCGGGCTCCTGGAGGATATAAATACGGGGACCTGGCTCTCTAGGTTAGGAGAGTCTCGAATCTGAGACAGTAGAATATGGTATTGAGTCCAGTGGGACTCGGACTCGAGAATGACTGTGCTGGCGAGGGTCAGCAGCAATTGTAAATGACAGACCCACCTTTCGTCACTATAACCGCAAGTGTTCGTTTAAAAAAATTATTGGTCGTGACTCTCAAGGGACTTGGCGTCAAGATGAACTGATTGGCGGTAAACCTCCAATCGTAAAGTAACTGACTCTGACTCTGACAGTGGTGAGTGGTTATCAGTCGAGAATGTAGACTATTGGTATTAGTCAGTGGCGAACACACAGCTAGGAGGCAGACAATTGCAGACAATTGCCAGGGGTTGCGGCTATGAAGCGGTGTTGACGAGGTGAATAGTTTCTTGGAGTTATCGCCTTCAGTTAGGGCGAAAGCTGAGGAGTCTACGGTGTTGGAAGTAAATGCCAGGCAGCGCATAGGGAAGACAAAGGAGACTTAGTGCGTGCCATAGTGAACTGTTATGTGCCTAAATCAATGAAACTATTGTAGTTACTTGTAGTTAACATTTGTAAGAGTCCAATAAATGTAATTACAGATGCAAACTCCGTCTATAGTCAATAAATACGTGACAATATTCTGAGAAGTTTGATATGAGTATTACGTAAATTTGAAGGTAGATGCAATGAACCGATATGGACCACAAAAGAGTGAAGATCAAAGATGAGGTCCATTTTCAGACATATAATCGCGTGTAGTTCGTTGAAAAATCAACCGATAATTTGGAGGAATATGTTGTCTCTACTCATAGATCTTCTTGCTTAGCGTAATTCTCGAAGCTGAAAAAGGACGCCACATGCTCCGAACCTCGGTTGATTTTTAACGGATTACACGGTGATACATCCCACAACTCTTCAGAACTACATTCTACAGGCATTCATCATACTGTGATTTCTTACAACATATTTATTTATTCCTCCATTGTAGAGTAGACTGTAAATTGCTAGAAACAATAAAAAAAAATTCATCATACTCAGCTTCCGCCCTGGATGCGGCCTCAATTCAAAATTCCTGGAAGTTATAGACTATGACACTAAGGTTACGATAGTGACCGGAACACGGACTGGGGGCAGGAGAATCGAGATCCATTCCCGGTAGGAGCAGAGATTATTATTTTCACCGACGAGTTCAGGCCCGTTACAGGGCCAATTTACACCTCTTATTCAAATATCAATGGAGCTTCTTTCCCCGGATGTCAAAAGTTTGGAGCGTGAACCTTAAGGTTAAGAATCTGTGGCGCTAAACGTCCACTGCCGGTCACGGTAGCCGAGCGGTCTGAGGCATGTACTGTCTTCGCTCGCTTGGAAACCGGGATCGTGGGTTCGAATCCCACTCAGGGCAAGGATGTTTAGTTTGTGTGTGTGCGTTTTTCTGTGTTTGTGTACAGGTAGAGGCCTTGCGACGAGCTGATCACCCGCCCAAGGAGTCCTACCGTATGTGTAAGATCAAGAAAAACCGAAGTGAACGGAGAAGTTCATGGAGGTAGGCCTAGGCCCACTGGGGGTGTAGTGCCATGGGAAAAAAAGTCTACTCTCGCACACGTCATGGCCCGGCACGTATTGATCAATGATCATTGAATGATAAATATTCCCTCTGATGCCTGAAGCTGTAAATGAAAGCTCACATGCTGCATATTGTTTCGGTTACTAACCTGTAGATGGGGGTGCCGAGATCCTCACGGTACCACAGCACTAGAAGAACAGCGTCGCCGCTGTCCGTTGTTATGTCGCATGGCAGATATACGGCGTCTCCTGCAACGGCCGTCACGTGGAACAGTGGGACTGAAACACAAACCACGTGACATGACACTAAAGCCGAGAGACAACATGCTGAAGCTTCGTGTGCATACACAAATATTGCACATCAATACATACGTCGGATTGGTCGACAAAAATAAATAAAGAGACGCTGCCAAATAACATTTGTCAGGCATCAAATACAAATAGTGCGACGCTGCCACTTATAAATCTTTGGATGTTTATGTTTCATGTACCAGCGTTGCTTCAGAGTACACCATTAGAGATGTCGCAGAATATCAGCTTCTGGTGCATCTAAATTTGAGGGGTTAAAAAGCTCCTCAGTTAGCCTCGAGAGGCTGAGTGGACACTGTACCAGACTCACTACTACTCAGAAAATCTGGTAGTGCCGGGAATCAAACCCGGACCTCTGGATCTGTAGCCAGAAACTCTGACTAGTGTCCATAAATGGACTGTCTGCTATACGGCTCAGGAACCTGCCAAGTATAAGAAGTTGTACACACAAACTAAGTAAAAAGAAATTAAATTCCTGGGATCCTTACTACAGTTCAATTTAGAATTCATCTATCCGTTTGTTTTCTAGAAATGTAAAGATTAAAGCATACTAATTTAATTTTACCTGTCATTTTGGGTGTAATAAACAAAGAACTTTGACTGAGAGAGGCTTAGATCGGAGCGCTGAGGCTAACATTTGGGGCTAGAGAAGACAGAAACTCGCAGGACGATGAAGCACAACGAAGAGCGTTAAGATTTTAAATCTTCAATAAGAAAATTGCATTAGCAGAGACAGAGGCATCTGCGCCACAAAAGGAAGAGTGGAAGAATAATTAAAATGTTTTTCCGGAAATTTTGAAAACAATGAGACAAGCTGAGAAATCTTGAAGTAGATTAGAGGAAAATACTGAAATTGGTTTTCTGACTGTGGATTTAATTAATACGGCTCAGGATAGGGTACCATGGCAAACCTGTTATCGCGGTAAGGAACCTTCGGCTTCCATGAAAGACCAATGGAGCAAATATAAGATTTTTCAGAATTAATCTGTTCATTGAAGTTAGTTGAGGGACATGTAATCATTAATTAATTCAAATAATGTTAAAATATTAAACATATGGTGGTGTCGAATTTTTTCGCATTTTAATACTTAATTTAACTGAGATGCAGTCGTAAATAAGATGCCCTTGCATTATGTACGTAATGTTTCAGTTAAATGCAGCCTTATTTGGGGAGGTTGTGGTGCTACCTCTCTCACATCACAAGCATAGTCTCAATAGTTAGCATACAGTACCATCAGTTTGCTTTAACGGCACAACTCGTAGTTCTGTAGGTTGGGCAACTGAGCGCTGCTGTAAACGGGCAAAATTAGTTCTGACTTAGGGGTCTTGTGCCGTCTAAGTGCAAAGTCGTCCCGGTCACGGTAGCCAAGCGGTCTAAGGCATGTACTGTCTTCGCTCGCTTGAAAACCGGGATCGTGGGTTCGAATACCATTCAGGGCATGGATGTTTAGTTTGTGTGTATGCGTTTTTCTGTGTTTGTGTACAGGTAGACCCTTGCGACGAGCTGATCACCCGCCCAAGGAGTCCTATTGAATGTGTAAGATCTAGAAAAACCGAAGTGAAAGGAGAAGTTTGTATTCTTTTGTTGGTCATTACATGTTTCTGCCTAACTGGCCATCTTCATGTGTACAGGTTATGGTAAAGGATTCTGCTGCTCACTGTAATGCGGTTTTCTTTCCTCCTACTGTATTTGTCTCTGATTATTTTGGTTATATGTGTCACCATAACTTTTATTTGGGTGTCATTGCGTAGCACGTGGTTGCTTTTCCGTAATGTGTGATGCATTTTGTTAGAACTTTCTAAAGATATATGTTTATATTTAGTTACTGTATATATGACGTTACTTACGGTTTTGTTTTGTTTTGTTTGTTAGTTGTGACAAAATTGTTGATCAGAGCTAACTCCGGAAACATTTCAACCCACTTCCAATTTTTCATTGTGGTTGTGCCACTCGACAGCCCGGGTTCCAATCCTGGGTCATTCCGTGTAGGACTTATGGTGGACAATTTGGCAATGAGGTAAGTTTTCTCCGAGTACCTTGGCTCTCTCTGCCAGTTCTCATTCAACTAATCTCTCCACCTCTCCCTTACCGTTCGCCGTGCAAAATGGGCTATTCACGGCCAGATTACCAAACAATTCATTCCAATCCCATCCCCAGAACACTGAATGTTTACTAATAATGTGAGGCCACTTGTAAACATAGTAGAAGATATTCGGTGTTACACATGGCGAGGAAGTTTATGAACAGCTGGACGACCATGCGCTTCTAAAATAGGATTTATTTTTCTTGGAGTTTCTTACTTTACTCTCGTCTCAAAGGGGAAGAAGAAATATTTGTACAGATGTGATATAGGAACTGAGATTATTACTCAGTGAGTAGCTTCGCATGCGGCTAAGATGCTCAAACGAAAAGGGTTAGGTTGGCGAAACATGTAGCAAAAACAGATGAAAATATCTGTAAAACTATATTTGCAGAAACATCAGAGGACATATGATTCAAGTGGCTGTGCGTTAGTATGAGGATAGCTGGACTGCTTCGGAGCGTGGTCAACGCGACAGGGTGATGAAGAGTTCTGTTAAACTGAAGAATATACAAATAAAAATTAGTAGCACTCCTATGTCTAACTCACGCCCTTATTGAGGAGTTGGCTAAATGGTACCTGAAGTTACAAGCTACTGACAGGCTCATAGATATAGAAATATGGAAGAAAATCAATGTAACAGAAATATTAAACAAATCTGACTAGATTGAAACATGAAAGGAACTACAGACACCAAGTAACTAGCTGAAGAGAACTTATTCTTCTGCCTTAAAAAGTTTACAGTATTACATTAAACTTAATTAATTTCTTTACAGAAGATCGCTGTTGGACTGAGCCAATTTAATTCTTACGACTATTTCACTATGAAAAATATTAACTTGTGTGATATGATGCCGCGTAGTCCGGCAGCAGTTCATCGCGCATTTCAGAGGAACTGTGAATTCGTATCCTACTCCATTTCTCCTAGCCCGGAAATTAGTACTGTTCAAGGTCACTGCTGTGAGAAACTGAAATCGAACTTTCTTCTTTTCGATTTATTTCAATACTACCGTCCCATGTAGAATTGTCATTCAGCTCCGCTCTTCCCTCTCTACGGCAAAACTAAGCCAAACAGCAAGCGCACTGCAGGCAACGTCACACCTACATCCTGTTCGCATCCAGCAACGTACGCGCGCAAGCGGAATACAAGGACCACTGATACATGAAGAAGTTGTATAGTGAGCACCACTGCAAAGCTATTTAATAATTTTAATAAATTTGTCTCAGTGTTCCATGTAAAAACATGTTTATACATCAGATATATGACGATGGGCAATCTGTAATACAGTTAAAATTCACACATTCATTTAGTACAGGTTTAATGAAATTCTTGAGGGGCTATGCTACAAGCCGGACGGTCGCGGGTTCAAGTCCAAATGAGGTCATTGGATTTTTTTCAATTGACCTAATCCTTCCAGCCGCACTATGGCCCTGGGATCGACTAAGGCTCTAACAGAAATGAGTACCAGAAATTAATTAAATAATTTTCCTGGGGAGTAAAGCGCGGCCGGCGCGTAAGGCTGACAACCTTACCGCCATCTTTGAGCCGATTGTCTAGAAAATGTGGGACCCTCAACGTCTCACAACCCTTTGGGCCTTCACGGCCTGTTACAGGGATACCTTAATTTTTTTTTTTTACTAATGAAATTCATCACTTGCGTAAACATGTAACCTACACGTGACGAATTTAAGGTTATTGTTTGTCGGAAGTATATGTAAAGCATATCTGAAAACTAAACCAAATTATGTTCCCGCAGCTGAAGCACTGCAGGGTGCTTCCAGTGTACAAACACCCGAAGGCAAAGGATCATTTCCCGGCTGCCAAGCTCTTTCCGCGCGCTGACTGAGTACAGTACACGCCAGCACGTGAAGTATTGATCTACTGTGTAGCAATACGGGTTCCCCTGTAGCCACGAGAGCTGCCGCCTCTTGCCGAAACAGGAGTGACGTAATCCAGAGATGTTAAGGAGAGATTGGGGTGTTAAAACTTTATCTCCCTTTGTCACTCCAAGACAGAGTTGTACAAGGTGTTAGCAACTAACCCAAATAGCTATCCAAAATTAAATTACCAAGGTTTTGTTAAATTTAAACTGAATTATTTAGGGTTGCAACCTTTCGTGGTTTTCAATGTTCTTCAGAATATAACGCTTTCACCTACTCGCCGTTCTCTGCATGCAATACCAGTTTATTCTCCAATCCTCTGATCCTTCCTTTTCAACTTCCCGTTGATATACACGTACTGTTACTGCTCCTCCTTCACACCCTCTCCTTATTCTTTCCCTTCCTTCCCCCTTTATTTGTCTCCTTTCTACCTACTATACCCCAACAAAGACAACTGTCTAGGTGGATAGAAAAACATGACAAAGCTCTCAGCGTGTAAAGTAATAGGGTGAGTGAAGGGGTGAGGGGTGGCGTGGTGGTCCCTGATTGTCTCACCTTCTGGGTGTTGAAAAATTGTACAATTCTCCTTTTTGTGGTCTCCTCTTATACCAACTCCTGAATTCCTCGTTTCCATGGTACATGTACGTTCTTCGCCATGTTCAGAAAACATTAATTTTTATGTGTAATGAACATACTTCCTCCATATGTATTTATACACGGGCCAAACCACGTACATATTTATGTAACGATATGTGCACATAGTGTGCGTGCATATATCTTGAACGTCTGTTACGTTCTCGGCAAAAGCCTATACAGAATGAGGACAAATGAGTGGGTACATATTTGCATTCCGCACCTGAATATACACACACCGTTTAATTCTTGCCACGTGTTGGTTCATTTCGTAACAAATAACTTAACTGCCGATCACAGTGGCCACGCGTTCTGAGGCATGAACTCTCTTCGTTCACTCGAACTCTGGGATCGTGGGTTCCAGTCCTTCTCAAGGCATGGTTGTCTCTGTGCGTTTATTTTGTGTTGTTCTGTGTGTAGATAGTGGCCTTGTGATGGGCTGATCCGAGGAGTCCTACCGACTGTATATGTGTACAGGATTAAGAAACCGAAAAAAAGCGGCCAAGATCCGAAAAAGGGCTGTAGATAGACAGATAGATAGATAGGTAGGTAGACAGACTGACAGATAAATAGATAGATAGGCAGACCGATAGATAGATAGATAGATAGATAGGTACACAGACTGACAGATAAATAGATAGGCAGACCGATAGATAGATAGACAGATAAATAGATAGGCAGACCGATAGATAGATAGATAGATAGATAGATAGATAGATAGATAGACAGAACCTCTCTCTCTACAATTCAATTTAACGTTATCACCGCATCCAATACAGTATCTATGAAGTGGACTTTTGCTTTGAGGCTATCCGATGCAAAATGGTATCTCTCCCTGAGAAGCTCTTAAGAACTGCAGAAATATACATCTCGATAACACTGTTATGAAACACCCTGTACGAGGTAACGAATGAAGCGAGGCGCGGGGACGGTGATTGGTTTCTTACAGGGATTGATTTTCTTTTTCTGATTGCTGCTTCTGTTGCTACATCGGACGTAATGTTGTGGAAGCAGTGACAGATGGTGACCTGATAGAATCGATCTATCACCGTTGTCCTGGTGGTGGGAGTGCCAGTTTTATGGACTATAACCTACATGTAAGTAGGTGCTACTTGGCTGTACCGGCAGACAAAGTAGCGCGGCTTCTTGATTTCATTTTTACTGTTTATTTACGGTCGTCCTACAATCTGATGTTTCATTTGAAGGAGTACGAATGGTAGCATGCAGCATGTAACATAGGAGGCTGAGAGTACAGAAGCCAGAGAGAAGGGAGAAACTAGTTTATGGACGCCATCAAGTTACGTTGTAACAAATATCCGAATCCACATAAAAACACGTAATATATTTCTTCTGTATTACAGAATGTAAATGAGGTTGCAATGATAAAAATTATCATTCACTATGCAAATATTATATTCAATGTTTTAAATATCTCGAACTGCCATGCGAAACCTATAAAACACTTGTTCTTAGAGTTTAATTTAATCTTTAGTCATCAACAAAACGTGATCATGAGAGATGGATAAGTAAGATTAGGAAGAAAACAGTCTTTCACAATACTAGACCACAATTCGTGTTGCAAGACTCTGTAAGCTCATACCAAACCTCAGACTACTTATCCGGTGCCTTTTTTTTTATTGCTAGTGGGGTGGGACTAAGTCCCTTGTACTGCGGCCACTTCTGGCCTATTGTACCAGCCCCAGATGATAGGTGAGAGTGATTGTGGAGCAATTGTTGGAATGAAGATTGGCAGGGGAAACCGAAGTACTCGGAGAAAACCTGCCCCAGTGCCACTTTGTCCACCACAAGTCCCACTTGACCAGACCCCGGATCGAACCTGGGCCGCCGCGGTGGGAAGCCAGCGACTAACCGCTTGAGCTATGGCGCGGCCCTCTCCGGTGCCTTATTACAGAGCCGATATGTGTCTTCTAAATACACGCAAAAGACAGACATTGCCGCACACACCAAGTTACTGTGGCTCCTCAAATATAATCAGTCACTCAAAGGCAAAAAGCTATTCCGAAACATCTTTGAAAGTTACAGAATTTTAAATATGTTCGTAAATAAGATTTCAAGACATAACATAAAAATATTGCCGATATTGTCCTTGCGCACATGTTATTATTGCTTTCCGTGAACTATTTTAAGTTGTATGTGGCATTAAATAACTGACTCATAAATTAATTATAAATGTTATAACTATTTATTTTAAATATATTTTCATTATATTACTTTATAGAAGCAGTCTCATCGCTTGTTGACACAGAGGCTTATAAATGCTGACCCTAAATGGGAGATCTGACTTTGTATTGGTGCATTCTGATTCTGTTACATCATAAAGATAATTATTTTACGACACTTGTAGCAGTCAAATCCTCATGCTACGCTAATAAGTTTATTTTCGATTGCTAAATGTTTGGGAG